ATGTTTTTTTTATTGGTCTTATGAAGTATTCTAATTTGTTGAGATAGTGAATTGGTGGGTTGGGTGGGTTTAACAAAAGTTAAATGTGAGCCAAAATCATCACAATTAAAAGAACCAAAGACTTAAACTACTTCAGTCTGTGTGCATTGGATTTATTTAATACACGAGTTTCACAATTTGAGTTGAATTACTGAAATAAATGAACTTTTCCATGACATTCTAATTTATTGAGATGCACCTGTATACAGTAACTCAGTTTTAAGAGGTTTAAGTCTATTTTGGCCACTTCATCAAGTGTCACAGGAAACACGTCCATTAAGGCTGAGGTGCTGATTGAGATCCATCTGCTAAACATACTCAGACTGATGGCAACTGTTACACTGTGAAGTTGTGAGCACTGGCAGCTAGTCTCCTGTGAAGACAGCAGCTTTCACTAGCACACCCCAAGGCCTCTGGAGCAGGTGTTTACACTCTGTTTGCCCTGAAACACGAGCTGTGTGGATTTTTAATGTGTCTTTTAACATGATAACCGAAATCCACACATTATTTTAAGATTATCTTAGCAAGCACAAATACAGAGGAATGGAAGCATTTGAATTTACAGTACAAGAGTTATTTGCTGAGATAGCTTATACACTATAACAACTGTTTCCATTTATTTTTTACTTTTATTTTAATTTATTGATTTTTTTTTACTTTGTATGTTTTAATCTTTCAAACATAAAAAAGTATTAAGACACTTAAAAGTTTATGTATATCTTTGCTTTATATAATAAAAAATCAAACCTATTGCACTGAAAAATTATTGGTTTAACAATTTTACGCGGAAATTGCTAGTAACTTTCACATTTACCGTAAATACCAAGTAATTATGGCAAGTAGCACATTGAACATGAATTATGAAATAATAGAACCGAGAACTGAAATAGTATTTTCTTGTAAACATACTGTACAATAATCTTTTAAAAAAAAAATATATATATATATATATATTTTTTTTTTTACAGTGTAGTTTGTATTTAAAAAATAAAACAAACACACTTTTAACAAAAAATATATCCTGTCCAAATCAAGGCTACATCTATATTAATCTGGATATATTTGAAAATGGCATTATCGTTTTGAAACGCTCTCCATCCACACTACCGTTCTTAAGTGCTTTCCAAAAGCTGCATGTCCACACTGAAACTTCTGCAAATGTTTAAATCACCTTGCAGCACATGTGTAAAACATCATTAAATTTAACTTTTGCGACATTATTAAAGAAACAGTTAATCCAGAAATGAAAATTTGAGGGTGAGTTAATTTTTTTACAAATTATTAATGTATGTGTGGGAACAATATGTATCACATGACCAAACATGAATCGATGTTTTCAATTACCTCCATATCACAGTCCACACTACAATGTGAAAACAGCCTTTTCAAATGTATCCATTTAAGAATGTCTTCCAGTGTGGCCGAAAGGCCAAAACTTATTTATGTGGATGGATTGACATGGATATAGCCTAAGGTGGAGAAGCATCTGAACATTTTCTGGATGTCAAACGTTAGTGGATGATGTTGACAGTTAAAGTGATTCTCTACACCTGCGGTTCCTCTGCTAGGACACATAGGTGAACCTCAGGAGAACTGATTTCATACATACATTAAAATCACCAAAACACCAGCTGATTCAGTCACTGAGCACAAATGTCTCAGAAAAGTGAAACTGTTTCTGAGAAAAGCTTGTGCAGCATTTATTTGCACTGAGAACAGAGCACATGATAAAGCTCATGTAATGAGATTCTCAGATCATATGAAAGATAATTTGAAAACCGCTTTAATAAAATTCTAATGCAGTACAGATAGCTGCAGATGATATCTGAATATGAAGCAAAGTTGGGTTATGAAACTGGGTTCAGCTGGAACACACTGCTGTTACTCACACTTTGGTTGAACATATCCGTCTCATGCCGCAGTGTGGTGTACTGACGCAGAAGCTGCTGTATCGTCTCTACCCGCTCCAACTCCAACCTCTCCAACTCCTTCAGAGTGCAAACACAGACAATCACTGATCTAGGATCAGTCTATATTACTATTAGCTGATGGCTCTGACACAAATCAAATTCATTTTCTTCATGCATGGTGAAATTCATTATTCATAATCATGTATAAACCTTTCAAGACAGACTTACCATGAGCACAGAGATTAAGCAATGATATATGATACAGAAGCCACAATATTTCATTTAATCTTTAGGATGTTGCATTACATTTCTAAATTCCTGGTAAAGAACTACACTACGCATAATCATTAAGAGAGATCCACCAATCAGAGAAGCTGAGGTTAGCAGCAACCCATACACTCTCTCCATTTTTACATTTTAGTACTGTACAAATCAGAATATTTTCAGTAAATCAAAAAAACTTAAAAATATATATTGTTTTATACTTAATAATAAATTACTATCAGTCAGTAGTTTTATATTTATCATTTGATTATGGCATATGCAGTGCTTCATGGAATGTGTAGTTCATTGCCTAATCAAAGAATTAAATGTTTTTATTTTATTTTATCTAAATTTAAATCAAAATCTGTGATGAATCATTTCAAAGCTGGTTGGTTTAATTCATGCTTACAACTCTTTTTTAAAGAATTCAGATTCTATAAAGAAAATAAAGTGGGGAAATATAGAGCTTGGAATTATAGTTTTATTTATTACTATTATTAATAACAGTACATGAAATTATTTATTGAACATTAGTGTGTTTTTCCGATATTGCTGTTGCTGCTATTTAGCAAAAGCAATAAGCAATTCAAATTTGCGCATTACAGTTTTACCACAATTAAAAGATGAATAACAAAAACAACAATAAAAGGTGTCTTATGCATAATATATTAATAAAAATGGTAAATGAGCCTCATAAAGAAGAATCATTAAGGATATTCAGAAATCATAATAACTTCATATGCATGAAGTGTCATTTTGCACAAGGAAGCTAGAGTAATAAAATAATAGAAACAATTACCAGGCTTGTGGTGACCATCTCCTCAAACCACTTTGACTGAGCCTGATTGTAAAGGTCCACACAACGCATCAGATCATCACCTATTCAGATAAAACACAGAGAGAGTCATTATAATCATAGATGCAGTTACAAAAAAATTAAATAGAAAAAAATGTAGTGTGGTTCATGCTTAAAACAAGTGGGGAAAAAACTGCCAATGTAACAAGACAAAACTTGGATTTCTGGAGCATTTCAAACTAATAAACATATGCAAAATATATGACAAAATACATATGAAAAATCTTTTAAAATCCACAAGAACTCATGAAGTTAAATTAAATTAATTTGAGCTATTCTTTCCAAAGTATGCAAGTGTACACTGTATAATTCATGCAATCAGATGATCATTCAATATGGTTTTTATTTTAAACAGATTTTTTTTTACACATTTCCTGAATCAAGCTTGTCTTGATAGTGAAACAAGACTTTGCTTCTCAACTGAATAAATTTTGTTTTAATGATATTTGGATATTTTTACTGGTAAACCAGTCAAAGATACCGATTTATTTTCTTTTTTATTATTTAATGTTTTCTTATTTTATCAGTGCTTGACTTTACCAGCAGGGGTCAGTTTTAACTCATTTATTTGTATTTGTATCCCCTTCTGTAACACAATAATCACAGGTATCATTTAAACTCAAGCTGTTTACCAGGAAAAGCTGTTCCCAAACAGAACTACTGGGTTTTACAATTACATGCATAATTAAAGGTAAACCGAGGCAAAAGGAGACAGACATGTGAGACAGAAAGAATATCGACATCTTGGAAGAAAAAAAAAACCTAGATCGCTCCATCTATATGTAAATGAGCTCCAGGCTTTAAAGACATTTGCATTAGTGATTTGAGCCATCATGATTACTGAAGGAAAATGGCGTTTGAGCTGTGCTTAAAGGGGTCATATGATGCGATTTCAATTTTTCCTTTCTCTTTGGAGTGTTACAAGCTCTTGGTGCATAAAGAAGATCTGTAAAGTTGCAAAGACTAAAGTCTCAAATCCATAGAGATATTCTTTATAAAAGTTAAGAGTCAACCACGCCTACCTAAAACGGCTCGTTCTAACACGCCCCCACATGTCTACGTCACGATGTGGGAAGATTTGCATAACGCCGCCCAAATGTTCACGCAAAGAAAGAAGGCGTAACTTTTATTCTCGCTGCAGTATTGTTGTTGCCGCCGCCATGTCGTGAAGGCACTGTGTGTTTAGTTGTGAAAGCGAAACTACTTTGTCTGGCCTTCCAAAAGAGGACGATATCCGCTTCGTCATACCTGGAGCTGATCCGTGCTGGTCGCTGAGGAAATACATCAACTTCGCGCAGTGGATCACCGGATCGGCATTCACCGTGGACGAAGCGGAGTCCAGCCAGGGGTCGCCACATGTGGTTGCCGCAAGCCCTCTGCTCACTCTAGGCCTCCGGCCTCCGCTCACTCAAGGCCACGGTGTGTGACTCTGTTTAGTTGTGAAAGCGAAACTACTTTGTTTGGCCTTCCAAAAATGGACACGACTAGAAATCAGTGGTTAAGTTGTATTTACAACACTGTTCCAGAACACTTCGCTTCGTCATGCCTGGAGCTGATCTGTGCTGGTCGCTGAGGGAATACATCAACTTAGTGCTGTGGATCACTGGATCGGCTTTCACTGTGGACGAAGCGGAGTCCAGCCCGGGGTCGTCACCCACGCCGTTCTCAAGCCCGCCGGCCGTTCCTCACTCAAGCCCACCGCCGCTCACTCTAGCCCGCCAGCCGCCGCTCACTCAAGCCCGCCCGCCGTGTGTGACGCTGTGTTTCGTTGTGAAAGCGAAACTACTTTGTTTGGCCTTCCAAAAGAGGACACGACTAGAAATCAGTGCTTAAGTTGTATTTACAACACTGTTCCAGAACAGTTCAACCCAAATATTCAGATGTGTGCATTTCCTGGCAAAGTAGACTACAAACTGATCCTGGGAGAGTAGACTACAATGCCAGCTGTTCTGACTCACAAACTGTAAGTACGTTTTTCATATTTAAAGAATTTGCCACTGACGACTCAAACGCGAGTTTTGAGCAGTGTAGAACAGCGCTTGTTGTTTGTCATTTCTCCAATCACAAATGCAGACATGGTTTTATGTTTACGCGGCGCAATGCAACGCAACGCGTAAAAAGACAGTATAAGTCATTATAAACCATAATTATGTCCCCACTGGATGCAACAAATGCCTCGCTAAATGGGTTTTAATGTTTTTGTCTCGTCGCTCAGGCCGGACAGGGCATCACAGTATGGTAAGGGGCGTAACATTTCCGTCACACGCTTGAGGTATTCGGCCAATCACAACGCACTGGATAGCTGGCCAATCACAGCACACCTCGCTTTTTCAGACCGATGAGCTTTGTAAAAATCGACGCGTTTCAGAAAGGCAGGGCATAGAGGAGAAACAATAATGTACAGTATGTGGAAAATAATGTGTTTTTTGAACCTTAAACCGCATAAACACATTTCATTACACCAAATACACAAAATAATGTTATTTTTAGCAACATCATATGACCCCTTTAAAAAAAAAAAAGACGTTTTAATCAATCCTTTCAAAAGGTGGATAATTGAGGGACTCATACGCAACTATTACAAAAGGTTCAAACATTGACTTATGAATGCATCAGTGAAAAGGGTGAAAACTTTTGAACAAGATGAAGATGTGTAAATTCTTCTGATTTTGTTTAAATATTATATTTTTTTATTTAGTACTGCCCTTCAGAAGCTACCGAACACACTTACATTTTTCTCAGAAGACAACATAAGTACAATTTACCTTGATCTTCAAATGCAAAAAGTTTTCACCCCCGGCTCTTAATGTTTCCTTTTTAAGCATCAGTGAATGTTTGATTTTCTGACCGATGAGCTTTGTAAAAATCGATGCGTTTCAGAAAGGCGGGCATAGAGGAGAAACAATAATGTGCAGTATGTGGAAAATAATGTGTTTTTTTAACCTTAAACCACATTAAACACATTTCATTACACCAAATACACAAAATAATGTTCTTTTTAGCAACATCATATGACCCCTTTAATGTTTGGCCGTTGATTTATAGTGGGAACTGCGACTTGCTCAGTGCGTGGGAGTTTGAGAAAGAAAGACACAGATAACATCATACAGGGCTTTTCTACTGAGCTCAGCTGCAGAGGAAAACACTGTAAAGCTCTTGGCAGTGGCACAATTAAAAACAATCTCCTGCAGTCAAGCAATGGAAAAGATCTCTGCAAACAAAGAAAATCAAAGCTGACTGGATCTAAAACACCATTTGACACTGATATCTTACAGCATAATTATCACATGGCTTATTGTAGCAGGAGTGATTCTAATTAATAACAAATGTGTTCAATAATATAAACTAGACTTTTACATCGCCTTTTTTTAATTTGTGCTAGAGTTTTGTGGCTGGATGCCAGCGTGTTGCTTTGCATATGAATTGCTAATGTGTCCTGGGTGGTTATTGGGATGTTGCTTACTGGTTGAAATTTAAAAAAAAAATCTCTATAATATTCTGGTCTTTAGCAAGTTCCTCATTCAGTGTAAGTCTAAGGCAAGGTTTTGCAGACCCCTAAATATAATCATCTCCTTTCGAGAGACACCCTTCCTAAAATCTAAAGGCAATTATACATTTTCTTGTATAAAGCCCCTTCTATACAGTGTAAGACAATATACAAATTCCGTCATACTTTAGTTTGGGGACCAATTCTTATGGGGTTGGATGAAGTCATGCAATGTGAAACCCCCTGTCGCCGATCCATCGTGCAATGTGAACACAGCAGCAACTGAATGCTACCCCAGATAGTCACGCAGTGTGAAAACAACAGCGATCCGACGAGTTTGAAAATCATGCAGTGTGAACTCGGCATAAGGGATCTAAAATATGGTCAGGCAGAGTAAGGCATTAATATGTGCTTTATAAGTACTAATAAACAGCCAATATGCAAGTCATATGCATGCTAATAAGCAAATAGTCAATAGTGAGAATTGGTCCCTAAACTAAAGTGTTACCACTAATTCACACAAGTGTGATATTACAACATGTTGTTTGCAAAATAAAATGACTGCCTTGAGTGTATACTGTAACTGTATTGGACCCAAACTTTATTACCCGCTATTTATTTATTTGAATATATTTTACAAACTCCAAGGAGCAAGATAAGAGTGGCAATGGTGGCAAATTGCATTGAAAGCTATAACATATTTATAAATATAAATAATTCTTTAATGTGATTTTTTTTTCTCTCCTTACTGTTAAATTATTTGGTCTTTATTTCTTACTCTCCTGGGAAGAAAATGAAATAATAATAATATAAATTTGGCAAATTTGTCATTTTTTTGTGTTAACATTTAAGAAATATATAAACGTTAATTAATCTGACATGCCTGAAAACTCATTTTTTGTATGTATAAATCAATCAATCAATCAATCAATCAATCAATAATATTTCTCAAAGCAGCCACTTGTGGATTGCAAGCCACTTGTCACCCATTGTATTGTCTGCCAGAGAGAGAGAAAAAAAAAACAATCAAAATAAGATTACATATTTTATTTGTTTATCTGCATGTCAAGTGACCATTAATCGGCATTAAAGATACTTAGTGCTTGTAATACCTAACCCTAAGTACAAAACATGTTATATAGTGGTACTTCCTGTTACTTTGAAGTGAGTTCATTGTTATGCACATCACATTAATGTTGCAGTTTTCGGAAATTGAATAGTGAAGCAGGAACTTGTCTCACAGTGCTGTTTAGTCTAATCCACTCAGTGTTGTGGCTGTGCGTGAGTCAGTCATGGTCATTTGGTTCTCTGTGCTGATGGAGTCAGTCTATAAGCACTGAATAAGACACCATTAGGGTCCTCAATAATGCACCAGTCACTCAGGCCAACAGGTTGAAGGTGGAGTGAATTCTCCCCCGTGACGCGTCCTACCGTGTGAACCTCGGGGCTGCCAGGTCTTCCTGCATTAGGGATGTGTGAGTGTCCAGCTCAGGACAAGTCCGGCATTGATAGTAGGCGTTCTGAGCTTCTTACTCAACACAAAAAGGATGGACACCAGATTACGGAGGGTTCGTTTCATTTGTAATCCATCCTGAGTGGAAGAGAATGGCTGGAAGTTTTTAAAACGAGAGACTACGGAGGAAGTCAATCCTAGAGCAATGGAGCAGCCAGGAGTTTGTCTGCCAGTGTAGTCTGTTACAGTGTTATGACAGCTGGCAAACTGACTGTGACTTGAGGATTCTCATAGTTGGAGTATAATTGCACACAGCTTCTTTATCCTACAAAGCCTACTGTATCATATTTGATACGCAAATTTGGCCTCTCTTTGTCAACCTGATCAAAACTGTGAGTTTTTTTAATGAAGTAAACATGAGAATAACTTTATAATGTTATTAATATTTCAAGATGAACAATTGATGAGAAACATTTATTTGTACATCTCTCATTTATCAATTCATTGCATTATATGATTAAAAAGACAGAAAAACAATAAAAACTACAAAGCTTTGATCGTAAAACTAAGCATTTAAATATCACCTTACTGTACATATTATTGTCCGATACAGTGGCAACTGAAATTTATATGCATTTTATGTAAGTAGTCAGTTATACTTACATAAAAATCTCATTGATTTATATTATAAATTCAACTTTTTGAACATATAAATATCAGCATTTACACCAATTTGCATATTTTTGCTCTGTTTGGGCGTCTGAATAAAATAAATGTATTTTTTCATCCTCGTGTATGAGCTCCACATGTATTATACTATATGAACCATAAAAGCCTGATCTGTCATCTATCAAATATGCTACAAACCATAAAACACATACACAAACTAGTGGGGCTAAAGGAAGAGTGAACATAATGAATATTCTGTCAAAACCTACTCTCGTGTCATTTCAAACCCATACGACTTCCGCAGAAAACAAAAGTAGATGTTTAGCAGAATGACCAAGCTGCTCTTTTCCATTAAATGAAACATTTTTGCAACTACAGGTTGTCAGGCTCCAAATGTGCTATATTTGAAGTCCTCTGAAGCCATACAATTGCTTTGTGTGAGGGCCAGACTGAAATTTAAGTAATTATTCCTTGAAACCCTTCCCATCCACTGTAGTTCTCAGATATGTTCCTTTAATAAATCGTCATATTTTTTGGACTATAGAGCCAAAATATCACCCCTGCAAACTTGAACTAACATTGTAACTCCTATTAATTTCAAAACACAATGGGTTTAGTAACATCTTGGATGAAAGGAAAGTGTCCTCAGGTTTAGTGTAGTAAGACCATACTAGCTCAGGCTTAATGGACTGCTTTGTACTGATGCTCTGACCTGCTTGTGTGGATTTCCGTCTGGCTTTTTTAATATCCTCCTCTGTTTTGTTGCTCAATTTGATCTCAAGCTGCTGTGTTTTCACCTCAAGATCCTTCTGTCTGTCTGCTAGAGCCTTCCGTGCCTGCAAAACACAACAAAAACAAGCAATGTAAAGACTGATCTTTAGATTAAATAGGGTACAAAATATCCATAACAATTTTTTAGGTGCCTAACCTTCAGAAAACAATGTTGACCATCAACTTCAAAAGGTCAAACCAAAACTTGAGAGATTTTCATTTCATTTTCTATATGATTTGCATTTTTTTCAAACCCTAAATTGAGACAGTTTAAAACCCAGATTTGTGTGAATTTGTAATTTTCTATTTTCTACCAAGTAAAAGCTGGAGCAACTACTGTTGTTAATAGATGTTCCCACTATGCTGTATACAATCACATAAAGCAATGAATCATATGAGCTTCACTGTCTGCAATCCCATTGATAATGCTGCATTGCCAGGCAGTTAAACTGTGCTCAACTTCGATGCATTGCAGTGTTTCCCCTGCCATTATTTTAGGGGGGCGGCCCCCTTGAAGGTCAAGTTCATTTTATTTAAATATATTTTCTCTATAGCGCCAGATCACAACAGAAGTCATTTAAAGTTACCTTTCTGATAGAACGGGTCTATACCTTGTTCTTTTATTAAACTAACTAAATAGCCTTATGTTATTTATCTTATTTACACGAGGGCATGTCATTTCGGTCTCTACGTTATGGCTCTCTGTATCACGCACAGCGGAGTTCCGCCCCGACCCGCGCGCACACACACACAAGTGAGCACACTCCCACTCCCACTAGTATTTGTAAATATTAAGTCACAAAACGACTATTTAAATATGAATTCTGCGTGTCTCTGTGTTAATGAATGGCGCAGACGCGCGGTTTTGTTTACTAACAGTTACTTGTACTGAAGCGCGCGTGAAGCTTGCGGTGGTCTGCCGTCTCACTAAATAAATACATTTATACATAAATACATGAGTTTAACTTGAAGGCATTGCGGCAGAAATATATTACTGTTGTTCAGTAGAATGTACGTAATAGGCTGCTACTACTACTACTAAAATTATTAAAACCTTATTTTTAAGGAATAATCATACAATATTTCTTCAATGTTTTAATTGTAATATTAAATTACCTTTATTTTCCAAAAAAAAAAATTTGTTTAATTTTTATTACTTAAAAGATAGATTAAATGAATGTTTTATGCCTTTAAAAAAAATGTAAATACACAACACAGAATTTCTGAGCAAAAAATCATAAGGCTATTGTAAGAATAAATTAAACTTGTTTTTATGCTTTCAAATAATTAGACATGCTAAAACAGAATTTGGTAACAATAAAACATATGGTTGGAAAAAATAAAACATTTCCTAGGGCCCTAAACATGTAATTTTTGTTAAATTTTTTATAAATTGATGTTAAATTGTTTTTGTTGCATGATTTTAATTAATTAGACATGCATTTTGATTAATACAATTTTATTTAACCATTAAAAAGGAGTCCAGAAAAAAAAAAACAAGCCGTAAACCTAGGGGAAACACTGCATTGCCTATGGTCACTGTTGCTAATGTTGCCGGAAATGGTCACTTCTCATTGGAAATGAATGATAGATATGTGGCCTGGGGTCCATGAACACAAGTGAATCACTCAAGGCATCATTCTGATGTGTTCTCATTTCTCATCCAGCCATCTGCCATGCAAAAGTTCAAACAGACATGTCAACACAATGTCTTCTGGGAAACATTTTAGAGCCCTTTATACCAAAGAAAGAAAGTTTAATTGAATATGCTTGACAAAATCAGTATGCACTCAAAGTTCCCTTGTGAAAAAGAAGTAAACTTTAGCATAATTTCAAAAAGTGCACTTATTACGGAAATAATGTACTTTTAACAGAATATACTGAAGTGCAAACTGAATGTAATGTTTTCTGACACGTAATTATTGCAATTAAAAGAAAATGTATTATAGTTTACATTTATAGTAAATGCAATTAGTTGAACGTAAGAGTGTTTTTGACCCACCTTGTTAGGACTTACATTATCTTTATATAAAATTTCACAATTACTTCTCTGTGAAATATGGTTAAAATCTACTGATGAAAATACTGACAAGCATTTAAATTTTATAGTAAATTTAAATTTGCTTTAATGTCATTTCTATTGAAAAGTGTTTCATCAATTTAAATATATTTGTAAAAGATTTCAAAGATTTCAAAAAGTTTCAAAAGAAGTTGCAATTAGTATATTTAAAATATATTAACTTTAAATGTAATATCAAATAACACAATACAGTTAAATTTATAACCAAGTGCTTTAGCCAATGTATCAGAATACGTGTACTTCTTTAAAGCATGATAAAAATGTATTATAACATAATGATTTAAAATGCATTTTAAATTAAAACTTTTAATTTGACATTATTACAAAGTGCACTTTTTAAAAGTGTACTTAAGTGTGTTAAGAAACAGTCATGATAGCGTGCTCTCTTTATGTACAGAACACTTAAGTAGGGCTGAAACGATTCCTTGAGTAACTCGAATACAAAAAATCATCGAGGCAAATTATGTGCTTCGGGGAATCATTTAGTCCATTTACTAGGGATGCACTGAATTTTCGGCCGCCGAAAATATATGCCGCGCCGCGCCGCCCAGCAGTGTTCAGGTTTCACTCTCCTCCAGCCGTCATCACTGCGCCGTGTGAAGTTCCGTTCAATATTCCGCTCTGTCGATGTGCATTCTGCTCATTTACCGCTCATGCTCACCGGAAAAGCTATGTCCGCTCAAATAGCGCGGACAAGAAATTTTTATGTAGTATACTTGTTCCTGTTTGCAGTACTGGGCAATGCTGGTAAAATCTCGTTCACTGATCTGCTCCCCGCTGTGCTCAGCTCACATGCGCTGATAATAATAGCTTTGCCAGGGTTTTTATATTTTTATACATGTTTACTTGATATTTCTTTAAACAAAATCATAATTTCTATTCATTACCCACTGATTTACGTGATTTGATGAGCATTAACTCATATTACGTGATCATATCTCTATGAATGAATGAATGGCAGAAACACGCGTTCCCTCTCAAGCTTTCACGAGACATCACGGAGACATTTCTCCGTTATGGGAACTCCTTCCCTTCCAACCTTTCCTGAAGTCCTATTGGCTCACGCCAGTCCAAATGACTGGCCAATTGTCGCGAAGTATGCAAATCGCATGCAAATACTGACGCGCTCGAGAGGCAGTATAAAAGGTCAGAATCTTCTCCTTCACTTTGCTGAATAACCTAAGAATATGGCTTATAAACTATTACAGCTCACTTAAGGTTCGCTCATCAGAGGGCGGTGCCTGGATTGCCGCTCCTCTGCAGCGTTCAGGTGAGTATGACATTTTTCTTCAGATGCCAGATGAGTCCGTCTGCCCTCTATCAGTGGTGGACCATAAGGACTCTGGTGATGAGTTCATGCCGACAAAATGTCCGCATTCCTCTCACCCATCGAACCTGCAGAACACCAGCCCGGCTTCTCACGTCCCCCTTCCATGGCGGAGCGGACAGCCGAGTGCAGATACTGGAGCGAAGGGTTCTCATGTCGCCGCAGATGCCGCACGACCCACTGTCTAAAAAGTGTGCAGCTCCCCGCCTGGGAGCGGCGACTGGCTCCTCACTCGTTCACACGATACCAGCCCCTCATCAGCGGCTGCCGTGTTTGGAAGACACTGCTCTCTCATTCACATGATACCAGCTCCACATCAGCGGCTGCCGTGTGTAGAGGACTCCGCTCTCTCACTCATTCAGGGCAATATGGAGCCTCCGCTTCAGTGCGGCGACAAGCGCTTCAGTCGCTTACCCACTCACCAGCAATAAAGCAGCAAGGGGTCACCTGATGCGACTGTGCGGAAAAGCGCACGAAGGCGAGGAGTCACCTGATGCCCAGGCGTGCGTCTTATCAGCCTTCCAGATTTCGCTGGACTATTACGTCAGTTGTTTACGCCCCTACGAAGTGGTGTTCAACTAGGTCGTATAGCCATTCACAGTCTTCGGGAGCGCTCGGCGGCCATTTTGTCTTCCCTGCACCATTTCAGACTGGGCAGCTCTGATCACTTGAAGTAATGTCAGAGGCTGCTGGGACTCATGGCAGCGTCATAAGTATGTCATCTGGGTTTACTACACATGCGCCCGTTGCAGTTATAGCTGAAATCTCGAGCTTACTTTATATTATTTAATAAAATAAATAATTATTACAAAGCATTTTCGGTTTCGGTTTTCGACCAAGCACATCCAGAATTCTCGGTTTCAGCCCAGAATTTTCATTTCGGTGCATCCCTACCATTTACTGTAACTACATACAGAGCACTGTGTTTGCAACCACATGCTCCTTTAAAGGAGTAGTTCACTTTCAGAATGAAAATGCTGTCATCATTTACTCACCCTCCACTTGTTCCAAAACTGTATGAGTTGAACACAAAAAAAGACATTTTGAAAAATGTTAGCATCCGAACAGTTGATGGGCACCATTGACTTCCATAGTATTTATTTTTTCCTACTATGGAAGTCAATAGTGCCCATCAACTGTTTGGATATTAACATTTTTCAAAATATCTTCTTTTGTGTTCAACAGAAGAAAGAAACTCGTTTGGAACAAGTAGAGGGTGAGTAAATTATGACAGCATTTTCATTCTGGAAGTGAACTACTCCTTTAAAGGATTACACACACACCAGTATGCAGAGAGACATTTAAGAGGGTCACGCATACCATAGCGGACCCTAGCGGACTCGGAAAGTATAACACAGGCTTAAAGGCTTATGTCATGCCTGAGCTGTAGTTAGGCTGAAACTTGAACGTTAAGTTGCACAATGTTTAGGTTTTGTTATTATTTTTTTATTACTATTATTCTGATTTATGTCTTAGTTTTTGGTTGTACTGTTTACCTTTTTTAAAGTAATTTGAAATTGATTTTTATATCCTTATATATTTGTATTTGCATTTTGAATGTAATATGGCAATTAAATGCACTAAATGGGTTTAGTTTTCACAGTTATTAATACATGCAATTTCAGCAATAAAAATGTTCATTTTTCTAAAAAGGAAACAATTACTTGTTTCAAATTACTTGTTCATTTTAAGAGACCCGTCTTATTTTCTCTTGTATATTTAGTATTGCTCTTTAATAAAGAAAAAGTTCTTCTTATCCGATTAATCGATGGAATTTTCTGTAGAATACTCGATTACTAAAATATTCGATAGCTTCAGCTCTACACTTAAGTGGCCTTTTATTTAATTAATATTATATGCAAGTAAAAATTTTTTTTATATAGTTCTAAGATTTAAGTACAATGAAGCACACTTATTTTTCACAAGAGTTTAAACAAAACATTCACTAAGTTTGTACCTTCTCCACAGCAGCATAACGGCTGACCAGCTGCTTCCTCAGGTCAGCGATGTGGTGGTCGTATTTCTTCATGTCTTTTTTAAAGTTGTCTCCTCTGAAGGTCAGTAAAGGCTTCTCGACTTCACTCTGGAGCTGGAGACAAAATCTTCTGCATCAGTTACACAGCTCCATGGCATATCTGGGCATGAACACTGAACAACATCTGAAATGAACTTGTGAGGTGTGTGGGTTCTCTGAGACGACTCTTACTGCTTTTCAGTGCATACATATTTGGATCGAGTTTTTGCTTTAGTAATGGTGATGATGTTCTTTAAAAGAAAGGTTTTTTTGTTTTGCTGTCTCCGTTAATCATACGTGATCTGAGGGAATAAAACTGCAGAATCACCTCCATCTTTCTGCAATTAATCACCCACACTGGCGCTAAATGGAGCACGCTAGTGTGAACACGGGAAAGCACAGCGGTGGAAATAGACAAATCACAGCAGACTGAAGAAAGCTGTGTAGCTCATTACATACAGGCAGCTAATAACATCTCTGAGGGGAAGCTATTCAGTACAGCACAGAAAATAAATAAAGGCCAGATACTTCATCTTCCCTGACAATGCATGAGCTTGAACCGCCAGTTTCTCAGCTGGATCTTATATCACCTCTATTGAGAAATATCATTACAGAAAACTGAGAACTGCCCACCTTTGAGGAGAACTTGAGATGGACCTCAGCTTCATCAGCTAGACTCTTCTTAAGTTGGGCCCAAGCTTCTCCAAGAGTCCTAAATCAAACCAGAACCCAGGAAGGATGGTTAAAGCTAAAAAATAATGTACTTCTTTAAAGTATAACAAAAGATTAAAAATTATAATGTACGTTAAAATAAAATGTTTAATTTGACATTATTACACAGTGTACTTTTTAAAAGTGCATGTTAAAAAAAACAGTCATGAAAGTGTCTCTGTTTAAGTGCACTAATGTGGCCTTTTATTTCATTAATAACATATTATCTACAAGTACATGTTTTTAAATATATACTTTTAAGATTTGCAGTACACCAAAAGTGCATATTCAATACAATTAAGCATGTATAAGGCCTTTTTAATTATGTGTTCATTTATTTTTAAACCCCCAGTCAACATTTTAGTACATTTACATCTTCTCAACTTGATCTTTATATAGCTCAATGCTCAAAAATCTTTTAATTCCAATTTTTAGTTAGACTTAAAAAATAGTGAAGGAAAAGCAGCTAACAGGCGTCCAGTATACAAACTCCTTTAATACTGCTTTAAAAAATCATCTTTGTAACATACCCTTCCTCTTGTGCTGCCATCGGGAACATGGAGAGTTTGGAAAGGTTCTTGGCATATTCCTCTTCGATTTTTATCCTGAAACATCAGGCATTCATCAAGAAAAGAAAGAGATAAAAAAAAAATTGTGTGGCATCATCTCATATAGTACTACTGGCAGAACTACATGTACACCATGCCAATAAACTTACAAGTAAGACATGATTGTTTTTCTTTTTTGGTAATACCCTGTGTTTTTTAATATAGCTGTCTTTCAGCATCTATTACTGTATGTTGGTGCTTTCCAGTGGTGGACGAAGTATACAAATCAGTACTCAAGTACTGTACTGTAAAAGTACAGATCCGTAAAATAAAATATTACTCCAAAGTAAAAGTACTCAGTTTTAAATTTTACTCGAGTGAAAGTACAAAAGTACTTGATTTTTTATGTACTTAAGTAAAAAGTACAGATAGATTAATGTTTATTTTGCGGTTTTAAATAGGCTATACTTTTATAATTTAATTTTATATTAGCATATAATACAAAAGTACTTGATTTTTTATGTACTTAAGTAAAAAGTACCGATAGATGAATGTTTATTTTGCAGTTTTATATAGGCTTTTATAATTTAATTTTATATTAGCATATATTTTTATATAATCCTACTGCTCAAAATACCTGGGATTTCCCCAAAATAACCAATAAGGAAATAATGAATATAATAAGGAAAATATAATAAGATTTTTATAATGATTTTTTTTCTTTTCAAACCTTGTCTGTGTAAAAACACCCCTGGCCAAATGCCCCCAGAGGGCATCACTTCCCACTTTGATAATTACTGTAGTTACCATGTTCTGAACATCACATCCTTTCTTTTTCCCTTAGATGTAATCTATCTAGGTGGTTGAATAAAAATATTTTGACTTTTTTTATTTTTATTATTACTTCAATTTAGCACCAGCAAGCTCGTTAGCTAGACAGTTAGCATCAGCTAACATTATTGACTTATTTTCAGCATGGTTATGAATAAACATTTATAATAGTCTACTCGGCTAGTTGATCCAGATGCATAGTAACACTTAGGCTATGTGCGCTGACAAACAATATAAAAACTGACGTCACATAGGGCTAAATGCATAGCATTTTAGTAAAACTGCTAACGTTACAGCAGCGGGGAAGATGATTGTGCATGAGTTATTTTATTTAATCTGTGTTATTTTAAATTTTTTTTACCTAAAACATAGAGACTCTGATGTTAAACCTAAATATGATTTTCAGTTACAATAATTAATCCTAAAATTTGACATTAGTAACTTACTTTTAACAGCATCAGACGCGCGCGCGCTCACAAGATCTCCCGGTTCTTACTTGTGAATTCAGCTCACTGGAGACTCGCAATAAACGGATCATTTGAGTCAGTGAGTTGTCGACCAGAGAAACAGCTGCAATCGGATCATTCCAATTCGTGAATGAATCGTTTGGTGCGATTTGCGAACCGATTTAACGGGTTCATTGAAAAGAATCAGTTCGTTCTTGAATCAGACACCGCTTCTGCGTGTCGGAGCACGTGATAAGTTCTCTTTAATTGAAAAATATGCATTTTCATATACTGAAGTAGGCCTACTGTATAGCCTATTACACACACGCATATCAGAAGACAGAAAGAGCTTTATTGTCAAGCATGTTTGCACATACAAGGAATTTGTTTTAGTGTCACAAGCTTCCAGTACACAGAGACAACAACAACACACAGATAATAAAAATAAGATGTGAATAAATACACATATGTATAAATATAAAGCACACACACACACACAATCGGCGAACAGAATCACAAGGGCGAGACTAGAGGGATAAATCCAGGAAAACAGGCAAAGTTCAGAAACCAAGAAAACAGATGAGGCAGACTAAGCTAAGGCGACTAAACAGGCTCCATAGTGTAGCTATCAAAACGATAAACGCTAAACAATACTCGGCAGTTAGAAAGGAGTGAGAATGAGTGTTAAATAGTGAGTGAGTGATATGAAACAGCTGTGTGCAATCAGTGCTGTGTGCAATCAGTGCTGTGTGCAATCAGTGCTGTGTGCAGCAAGGATGTGTTAAATGGATAAAAAGTGATATTGTTAGAAAAGATTTCTATTTTGAATAAATTCTGTTCTTTTTAACTTTTTATGTTATTTATGGAACACAGGTTCCAAAAAAATATTAAGCAGCACAACAGTTTCAACACTGACAATAAATCAGAATAAGAATTATTTATAAAAGGATCATGTGACACTGATCAATTTTCAATGATGCTGAAAATTCAGTGCTGTGTCACAGAAATAAATTATATTTTAAAGTATAATAAGATAGGAAACCAATATTAGAAATTGCAATAGTTTTTTTCTGTATTTTTGATCAAATAAATACAGCATTGATGAGCATAAGAGACTCCATTTAAAAACATTACAAATCTAAAAGATATACCTGTGTGTGTGTGTGTGTGTGTGTGTGTATATATATGTATATATATATATATAATAGGCCTGTGTGTGTATCCCTTATTCTGTCCCTTATTTTTCTATGAAAAACCACGATTGTCCCTTATTTTCCTTTTCTGAAGTTGGAAACCGCTCCAACCGCTCCAGAGTTAGTTTTCAATCGAGCTGAGACCACCTCGTTCAGGCGATCTCGGACGATTGTTTTGGCGCGGATCCGGGCGCGATTGCCGTGTTCACATATGCCCAAACGAACCGAGCTAAGGGGGGAAACACGCCAGGTTCCGAAACAACGAGCCAGGTGTGAAAGCACCCTTATATTAGCATCTGATACCATCACTGAACATTTTGTAATGTTTATCTGTTCCTGTGATTCTTATCCATTCCTATCCTTTCAGATGGAAGCCGAAACATTGGTTTGATCAATCCCTGTGAGTTTAGTTTGATTCTGACACTGAGTCTGACAAAATCCTTCACAAATGCTTGCCCTAATATGTAAAAAAAAAAAAAAATTTTGATACAAATAAAGTTAAAAATCAAAAGTATTTGATACAAGATACAAGTTTACATGAGCAGCAAAATTGCATAACATATTTAGGCTTGTTTTTAGAACATTTCTAATTATTTTTTTTCCTAATCCATTGACAAATAATTGTTTTTCTTATTGCATACGTCTCTTCTTGTTTCTGGCGTAAATAAAAGTGAAAATAAATCTTGGGGTAAGAAAAAGTAAACTTGCAGGCATTTATTCACATGTAAACATTGATCAAGCTAGGAAGTTGTAATTACAATGTCAGGGGCATTCCAATCACTTCAGTCAGTGTAAGATGACAATGTACCATTTCTACAAAAAATTCAGCAAGATTTTTGTAACACTATTCTACAAAATGACAAAACAAAGAATGTGCATCTGTGGTGTTTTTGCTTTTGTAATGAATTTATGAAGGTTCTGTAACCAGAATCATTACACTGTATATGCTATCATTGTTGTAGAATACTATGATATTTTGTACATGGAACTTATATAGTTTTATTGAAAATGGAAACAACAATCCATTAATTTCAACAAATTTACCATTAATACAGATGCTGCATCTATGCATTCAACATGTTTTCTCAATGACACACCCTTAGCACAGAAAAATTCCCACTCGTTAAGTTACGTTTTCCACTTGTAATTACAACTTTGTGGTGACGTTCATGTGCATTCAATTTGTAACTACAATCTTTCTGACATGATTTGAATGCACCAATAAAGCACATAAGCTCAAACGTGCATGTGTGACGTGAAAACTACCTCATTGATTCTTATGCATGACACAAGCACATTTGAACTTACATTTACCATATTTGATGTGCTCTATGTATGTGCGTTGATAAATTTTTGTATGTGGATAAAAGCTTAAATTAAATCTGTTCATCATATCAAGCGATAGTATTTCTCCAGAAGACTTGGATTTGACCACTCAATTCATATGGAATATTTTTAAGATCTCTTTATGAACTTTTTGAAGCTTGAAAATGTTGATTGCATAGACTTTCAATAGATGGACAAAAGATTAGAGAATATTAAAAATATAATCATTTGCGTTTCGAAGATGAATGAAAGACTTTGGAACAACATGATGACAGAATTTTCATTTTGGGGCGAACTATTCATTTAAGAGCCTAAACGGATAATAATAATAATAATAATAATAATAATAATAATCAGTTTTCTTAATGTTGTTAGTGTAAGAAGAAAAGGTGTGTTCATATCACTTTACAAATTTTTTTATATTTGTGAGTTTATGTTTTAAGAATATTTAGATATTTTAACTGGAAAAAAACTGATGAAGAATAAAATTGTTTTCAGTGTGAAAAATAAAACATAACACTCAAAAAGGCAACAGAGAGTGAGGTGTTATGTAAGAATCATGTCATTATGAGAGAGAGACTTGCCCACCTTTCTCTGATGAACTCTGCCATCTCTTTCTGCATCTGCTTCCCCTTCAGTTGTTTCTGCAGCAGCACCTCGAACCCTGACACCGTGGCCCCCTGAGGGTCCCTCTTATCAGCCTGCAGAGGACAGAGAGATGTTACACACACGCGGCGTCATGCATGCTACCACTTCATCAGCACCAGACTGTCAACAACACGTTAGCACGATCAGATGTGTGTGAGAGCGGCCACATGTGTGCATGAGTCACAGCGTGGGTTTGCATGAATCAGAGCGTGTGGGAGGAGGTGTACATCCTTGCGGGTGTAACTGTGAGTGTGCGTTTCAGTGAAGGGTGTGTATAGGTTGTTGAGGGAATGACTAATGTAATGTGAGGGCTCCTGATGCAGTGTATGTATGCAGCATGTTAATGAAATATGCTTTTCCGTGTGTGTGTGTGTGTGGAGGTTTAAGAGTCTGCTGTTGTGACGGCCACTGACGTGCCATCCCACACATGACAGAAGTGTCATAACCTTTTCACGCTTGGCTTGAGAAACAGCCAGGAAGAATCTTCCCAACAAAATACTCCTGTTTATCATTTGCTTGTGTGCATGCATCATAAAAGTGAAAATTTGCTGATAATATACTCACCCTCAGGCCATCAAAGATTAAGATGAGTTTGTTTCTTCATCAGAACAGATTTGGAGAAGTTTAGCATTCCATCACTTGCTCACCAATGGATCCTCTGCAGTGAATGGGTGCCGTCAGAATGAGAGTCCAAACAGCTGATAAAAACATCACAATAATCCACTAGTAATCCACACAACAGTCCATCAATGAAGTGAAAAGCTGCATGCTTATAAGAAACAAATCCATCATTAAGACATCAGTTTTAACTTCCATAACGCTTCCTCCAGTGCAAAAGTCCATCCCCTGTTGACCTCTCACATCAAAATCACCAACATATTTGTTTAGAACTGTTTGTTTTCACTTGTAAATGGTGCTTGATCTGTGCATATTTTTCTCCTGATTCAGACAGGATGACTTTTTCACTGGAGAAGGCAAAATTATGGATAGAGGACTCCAGAAGCAAGAAACAATGGATTGAAGTTAAAAACGTCTTAATGATGGATCACAAGGCATTAATTGATGGACTGGAGTGGTGTGGATTGCTTGTGGATTATTGTGATGTTTTTATCAGCTGTTTGGACTCTCATTCTGACGGCACCCGTTCACTGCAGGGGATCCACTGGTGAGCAAGTGATGTGATGCTAAATTTCTCTACATCTGCTCCTAAGAAGAAGCAAAGTACATCTTGGATTGCCTGAGGGTGAGCACATTTTCAGCAAATTTTCACTTTTGGGTGAATTATTTCACTAAAATTAAAATTAATTTTAGTTAAAGTAATAACAAATAAAAACTATGAAAAACATTTTTGTTACTTGAAAGAAAGGTTAACTGAAACAAAATGAAATATAAAAAAACTTAGACTTACTTTATTTTAGCTGGTTTCCAAGATAACCTTTCTCATTTTTATTTAGTTTAATTTGATGTACTGAAAACTAAAACTAAAACTGAAATAAAAATTAAAAACTGTAGACATATAAAAAAAATCATCATAATACTGACAAAAACACAACAAAACTAATAAAACATTCATTAAATTTAAAATGAATAATATCAAAATAATAACTAGTTCAAAATATTCATAAAAAAACAATAATAGTATTTCAATGATACTAAACTAACACTGATTCTGCTAGTGAATGCACACTGACTGCCTCAGATTAACTGTAAATGTCCTTCTGGATCTCATTTTCACATTCTTTGTCTCATCCTAACGTCTTTGTCTCATCTGTCTGTGCATGGGGCTCAAATTACATTTTTCTTAAACCTGTCAGTGGTGATGATTTGAGGAAATATACCGGTCATAAATCTTAAATAGTCATATGTTGCTGAGCAGTTGTTCTGGTGGTTGTTTATTAGCCCAGGCTATTAGGCTCAGGTCCCTCCATCATTGCAAGTTTGTGGGATTGTTTTTCATGTTTTATCGTCCGGCACTTGAAAAGTCTGATGACTTTGAAAAACACAAGTACATCTCTCCTCAAAATCTCTAATGTATCTCATTCAGTAAGTATAAGCACCAACAGAGTGATGCTAGTTATCTTACACAATTTCTAGTCTCAATTAAATTTTTCTTGTGTGAGGATGTTTTGATATTAAAAAGAGCACATTTCTCCTTGACATCTCAATCTTATGAGTATAAACAATATAGTGATGCTAGTTTTGATCATATTAACAGCTTAAAACAGCATCATGTTAGTCACAATGTAAAAAAAAACTTAATTAATAATCTACAAGAAATAAAATCAAATTAAACAAAATAAATAAATCTAAATTGTGCTAGGTTTATCCTTAAAATAATAAAATAAAATAAAAAACAGGGTAAGAAAAAACAGAATATATTACTCAAATAAATTCATCTTGTTTAGCCTATATGTAACAAAACAAAAAAATATGAAAAATATACAAAATCTGATTAAGTAAATGATTCATAGCCTTGCTGTGAAATGCCATCTGTCATAACCATGTCAAAACAAAAACAAAGAAATATGTCTGCATACTGAAATAAAAAAAGAAAACATTTCAGTCTTCCTCGGGTTGAAACGTAAATAAAACATTTTGGGAGCTTTAATTTCAACGTGTGGGCAAATGATTTTGGTTTCTTTAGTAGACGTCTGTATCTCTTTACCTCACATCACTTCTGTCTGTCAGTCATCAGATGAGATTGTCGTTTTTACATTGCTATTTAAACCATGCATGTTGCTGTTTCCAAGCCAATTGTCCAGTTTTATTCACTATCCTAAGTTTGTCAAAGTTTTTCACAATGAGCTGTTTTCTACGGTGGCCGAGAAGTGCAAAGCAAATCACAATTCTGAAAACAAAATAACAAATTACAAACGCAAATGCAAGTCTAAAAAACAAAATAACAATTCAGAAAACATTATAACAAGGTTTGTCTGATTTGTCATTGTGTTTTCTGACTTGTTATAATGTTTTCTGAATTGTTGTTGTGCTTTCTGAATTGCTATTTTGTTTTTTAGACTTGCATTTGCGTTTGTAATTTGTTATTTTGTTTTCAGAATTGTGATTTGCTTTGCACTTCTCGGCCACCGTAGTTTTCTGTCCTTCTAATGATATTAGATGGGCCCATTTCGATACTACTCCTTATAGTATAGTATCAGTACTCAGCCACTGCGGTCCACCAGGTAGGGTCCTCTTTCTCTCTTTCTGTCTCTCACCCAGAAATAGTCACAGTAGCTCCATTCATTGGGCTTGAGAAGCTGCTGCTCCAGCGCAGACGCGGGCACAGGGAAGGTGACGCAGTTGATCTGAGGTGAGATAAAACAGAGGAAGGTCAGTTCACAGTGTGTGTGCGTGAACGCTGTTTTGTCAGGTTGGTTTTATTTTCAGAGGAGTGAGACAGAGATGGCTTGTGTTAGTCTCAGAGGGGAGACAAATGAAAGGTCACGATGTAAAAGACAAAGACTGGTCATATTGACTGTAACCTATAACAGCCTGAGGATGGACAGGGTGATGGAGGAACAGAGAGAGGGTATGTTTAGAATGGCAAACTATTTTTAAAAGCCTACTATTTAAAAAAAAATAATAGTAAAGATAACATGCACTATGTTTAGTGTGCATAGTATGCAAGTTTTCTCTATACAGGTACATTTAACAGAGCACACTGCAAAAAATATTGTAAATGTACATGTACATGTGAAGAATGAATGCTCATTAATGCAATCTACAGTTTTACACATTTCTTTTAAAACTGTAAGCACATACCCTTGTAAAAAATAAGTACAATTTAGCATACTTATATACTTACTACAGAAATAATATACTTTAAAAGAATACGCTTAAGTGTGAACTAAATGTAATATTTTCAGACACTTAACAGCATGTTAACTGCAATTAAGTAAAAAGTATTACAGTTTAAATGCATATTAAATGAAATTAGCTGAGTGCATTTTAATTTCATAATTGCTTCTGTTGTCTTTGGAATGTGGTTAAAGTGTACTGTCAAATGCGTGAGCATAAGATATTCTCCATTAATGTTAACAAATAAAAAAATAAAAATCACTTAAGGTTCAGGAATCTCTCTGATTGGTGGATCTCTCATTGTGTCATGGCGGGTCGTCATACACACAAATGCCTCATTAGGGTGGCTAGTTAATGGAGTTTCATTCGTTCCCAAAATCAGCCAGTAGTCTTGAAAAATACAAGCATTGAATCAGACTTGTTGCTATGACATTGACCTTAGTTCATTTCCTAAGTCTGTGATTCTGAGATGTTTTCATCATTAAATAAAAAGACTGTACAGATAAAACGTATATGTTTTCATTATCAGTAGCTCATATTAGGCAATCTCATTGAGTTTTATATGGCGGTATGCTTCAAAGTCAGAAAAAAAATGAGCAGGATATTTGGATTATTTCCTCTGTAAATCTCTATCTACCGTTAGAGTAAACATCTATACTTAATGTAGATGGGCTTCATCCAATATACTTGTGCATTTGTTGATTTCATCTCATATGTGTATTATTTGGTTTTATTTGAAAACAGAAGCATGCTGAATGGACTTTGATGTGAATCTTCAATTTCAACAGCTCTGATAAATGATATGCAGCCAATGTTAACTTTATTATAAGAACACACACATATACACACACACACACACACACATTATTTCCCGTTTGCATCCGCAAGGCATCTGTTACACATTTTTCCTGTGTGTTAGGGAGGGTAGGCATCCACCGGCAGAAACATAAATCGGCAAGCTTTTATGGTAAACTAAAACAAACTTTAATGTCATTTCTATTGAAACTGGTATGCCGTGTATTTAAATAGATTTTTAATCACACATTTGTAATGAAGTTGAATTTAAAATATTAAACTTCAATTGTAATATTAAATAACAGTTAAAATTATAATCAAGTACTTTACATGTGCTGTGGTATGTTAGTCAACACATTCATTAATATAATATTATCTGCAAGTACAGTTTTTTAAACATACTTTTAAGAACTGAAGTACACTACAATACAATTAAGCACACTTCTTCTTCACAAAGGTAGGGCTACAATGGGATAAAGGCCCCATTTTGGTCATAAAATGTATAATGATCAGAACAAAATTAAATTTTTTTTATAAATATTGATGAAGCAACATCATTTGTGTAAGATGTAATAATCAAAGACAGTTCTGATTTAAAATCTTTTTCAAATAAAGCAGTCAAGCAAAGGTCCACACTTAAAATAAAAGGCCCCATCATGGCGTAAAAGGATTTTAACCCCTGCAACAAGCGGGTTTTTTACAGCAACAATCCTTTCACTTTTCTGATGTTTGTTGAGAAACTGTTGAACTATCACCTTGAACAAAACTGAATTTCATAGAAGTTTCTGTCTTAAAAGATATGAGAGTTTTAAAGATATTCATTTGCTATAATTTGTAAATCTGACACTGTAAAAATCAATATATGTTCGATCAATTTACTTCAAAATCAATCTTTTGTCATTAAACACTTCTATAATTCGTATTTTTTTGAGAAAATACAATGGAAAGGGCCTTTTACCCAAGGGTTGTACCCTACTGCACAGTATGCAGGTATGTCATAAGCTGTACACTATTCCATTCAAAACACAGCCAGAGATTCGCTCACAACCCCGAAACAAGCAAACATTGTTAAGAGTGAGATTCCCAAACAATCAGACCCAGCACTGCTATTCATTCCTACCTCAAGACTGCAGTTAGTGTGTGCGCTCATAAAGTGTTTGAGTATACACTCTAGGGTCCATGGCGTCTCCAATTAGCCTGTAAGCACTGCAATTATGTAATGCTCACCATCTGTACCGCCTTCCTGCCACTGCCAAACAGGATGTGCTCCCTGCCATAGCCCTTCAGTGCTTCACACACACACTCACACTTATTCATGCTCAAATACACCACTGTAAACAAATTGGTCTTAACCTCTTGTAAGCGAGATATTTTGCAAAATTATGTTAATGATTAAGATAGTTCATTAACTTTGACATCTATTTAACATGCTAATGTCATTCATTTTTCTCAAACTCAGTCGGGGCGGAACAATTTTATTGTATTTTTAAAATAATTTTTATTAATTTAATCAAGTAACTGCTGAACTTTCAAGAAATCCACCTTAAGCATAAAGTACCAGGGTTGTAACCATACAGAAACTGGAGGACCACCACCATAGGGATGCATGTTTTATGCATGTATTAATATGTGGTTGCAGCCTTACTTATTGTTCACACTATAATTACTGTTACAGTAAACATGGAATTAATATAGAAATTATTTCAATACATAAAGTAAATTATGATAGTATCACTCAGCTTGTTTGTGCCTTATAAATGGCATATTGTAATTGAAATGATATGTGTATACAATTTTACATTAATTAATTACATTATTACTACAAACATGCTTTGTGCATTGATCATTCACCTTGTTGTATTTAAAATATGTTAGAGCTGAACATTAAATGTCATTGCAAAAATAGCTAATAGCAGCCTAAGTTTGCCAATATCATTGCACAAATATGCAGATTATTATTTTTTAATTTACAATATTGTTGTGCAAACAAAAAAATATATAAAATGCATTTTTAATACAAAAAAGCATTTTATTTTTTAAAAAATAATAATTTATATATGTATATAAAGTAAATTTATAGTTAATTAGTTAGCAAGTTATATTATAAATTAATTAGCAAGTCTTTAGCAATTATTTAGTAGCGTATTTAGCAATTAATTTGATCAAGTGACAGTAAAAAAAATTTACATTATAAAAAATATAAATTAATATATATATATATATATATATACATACTGTATATGCGTGTGTGTGTGTATTCTAATTTTTGCGTGGTTCAGCAAAGTCTGCAGCGGGAGAGAGGGGCGGGAGACGAGCGGTGAGTAAGTAGGTCAAGTGCAAAATGATGAACACCTGTGTCTGATTGCAGTAATTGGCCTGGAGAGACCAGTTTAAAGGCCGACTGGAGAACGTGGAGGGAGAGAGAGAGACGGAGACTCGTGGGCATCGCTCGGCCAGGGAGAGAAAACCTGAGGAACTGCATTTGTGCCATTGGTAGTGTGTGAACGCGCTGGAAGAGCTACTTTTGTTAGAGTTTTGAGTTATTAAATAAACATCCACGAGTCTCCAAACGCCAACCTTGTTCACTTCCTTCCTTATTATGAACCTTGTTACAAAAATGTATTGAGAACTACCAGGGCAATCCATGATGAATTATGACTGTTCTATCTCATCTCACCAAAGCACCTCTGAATGTTAACTCCTCGACTCCATCAGCATTATTTACATCTACATAATTTGCACAAATGGACAAGACGGCATAATGCAAATTGTACAAACCTGACCACAAAGACACACACAAAAAACACAATTACGATCAAGACATTGGATAGATGACCCTTGCATGTGCACAGTGATAAGACCCTATCCACTCACCCCAGATGCTTCCTAATCTGATGGCGTTTGAGCTGATTTACTCATTCGTGCCTCGTCACTTTGTTCATTTCATGCCTGGAAGATCGCTCTGATTGTCGTGGCCGCCAGATTTTCCCTTACAGTGCCGCCACATCTATCACTCCTGTTGTTTATCCTTCACTCTCATCCTCCACTCACATTCCCTCTCTCCGGGGAAGTCGTGGCCTAATGGTTAGAGAGTCGGACTCGTAACTCATAGGTTGCGGGTTCGAGTCTCGAACCGGCAGGGATTGTAGGTGCGGGGAGTGAATGTACAGTGCTCTCTCCCACCTTCAATACCACAACTGAGGTGCCCTTGAGCAAGGCACCGAACCCCCAACTGCTCCCCGGGCGCCGCAGCATAAATGGCTGCCCACTGCTCCGGGTGTGTGTTCACTGCTGTGTGTGTGCACTTTGGATGGGTTAAATGCAGAGCACAAATTCCAAGTATGGGTCACCATGTCACTTTCACTTTCACTTCACAAAATGAGCCCATTCATCAGATTCAGGCCCATCTTCTCTCCTTATAACTCCTCAGCGAGGTGATCCACCCTTATCAGGAGCTTATTAGACCCTCTGTCCACGCTGAAATACATCTCCCTCCACATCCTTAAAAATCCAGCTCTGCGCTAATGTAAGGCCAGTTCACATTCACCAAAACTGTAACTTGAATCACCATTTGGTACACCGCAGTGGTTTTGCATCAGGGAGGGCTAATACTCTTGATATTGCAGTAAACTGGTTTGGTTGAGGGCCGCAGTTATTTCAAACATGGGCTTTGAGTGAATTCTCACACTAATCAAACATCAACTCTACTTGT